CACCTCCATTCAGATTCCATCAGAGGCGCCGCTTTGCGCACCGCTTCTTCAGACCGTCTTCACATCTGCGATTCGCAAAGCATACATAATTGGAAACCCGGACATGATGTACCAGTGACCCTTTGCCTGAAATGTGCTGACGTTCACTCCCCGGCATTTGCCATTGCGGAAGACACAGTATGGGCTGGGGCTGTCACAGAGCTCCTGCACTTCTCCATACATTCTCCCCAATGTCTTGCCGACATCGTCCAAGGTGTCCATGTCCCGCACCTCCCCAAACGGCGCAAAGCCATGAGGGTCCAGGCGCGAGTTGTCCCCGTAATTGACGAAGATCTCCGTGGTGTATCCGACGGCGCAGTAGTCCGCTGCGGTGCAATTCGGACGATACGGCGCGCACGGATCATCGCCGCCTTGCTGGCAAACAACAGCGTCCATAGCAAAGCTCACTCGGCCGCGGGTGTTGGAAACCAAGGCCGGGGCAGTCTGATTCGAGGTCTTGTGGGCGGTCCAGGCTTGGTTCACTCTCGGGGCACCCACTAAACCGAATTGGCTCATGAAGCGCTCCGTGGTGTTCACATAGTCGTTGCGGTAGATGGGCACATCCTCCCACCACCTGGCTGTGGCTCAAAACATGGTGCCCTTGTTTTTGGCACCTTTGTTCATAAGGCAAAGGCTTGTTCCTTCGTTAACACCGGCCGGATTTCGAGCACCTCAGCTTGGAGAGCTGCCAGAACCGCTGTGCGAAGACGGGCGCCCAGCTGGTGTTCACGTGCACCCGGAAGCCGCGGCCGTCCGCCAGGCGAAGGAACACCTCGAACTCCGGGGGCGCCGGGGTGTCCCAGCAGCCCTTGTCGCCTTCGGCGCTTCGACGACTCAAAAACGATCCTGAAAAGCTTGGGCTTTCCTTTTGGTTTCCCATGATCATTCAAAAGGGGGCGGGGGGGGCACAAGACCTTAAAAAGGACACACCCACGCATCAAATAACTTGAACCGGGAAGCGCTCCTAGGGTGTGCACAACAGCACACTCAGTGCGCAGCACATGGTGCGCACCTGGCCTGGGGGTGCAGAGGCACAGCGCAGAAGCCGCTCCTCATGTCGCCGATCTAGACCCAGCGACAGCAAGGAGGCCTCCTCGTGGCTGGCAAGAACCTCCAGAACCACAAGAACCAGCCATGGCTTCATGGCGCTGAGCACAAGATGGCTGCGTCAGAACTTGGAATCTTCCCTTCCAAGTGTTTTAGAAGTTAGAGTGAGGGAGGGAGGGGGGGCAGTGATTGAGTGAGTCCTTAGGTGCTTGCGTGCATGCGTGCGTGAGCGAGAAAGCTCGTGCTTCTTTACGGGCAAAGCAGTTTGGGAAGAGGACCGAGGTTTAAGCTCAAATCGATGCGGGAAACAAAACGCAAAACACATCGGCCAGCCATACAAGCTTTCCTACATGTCCGTATTTAGAACAGGCAAAAGTGGCAGTTTCAAGGGAATTGCAACGTTTGATCCAGCGACCCCTGCCTTTAAGACTCCAAAGGCGCCGCCAGCGAAGGCAGTTCCCCAACCCTACCATTGAGGACGAGACGGATCATCCACGAGGTCAGGCGCTTGGTCTGCTTCACCCAGACCTGGAACGAGCCGCCGAGGTTCCCCAGCTACGATACAAAAAACAACATTCCCACATCAGAATGCTGTATGCAAAACCCAGCTTTCCGAGAATGTCCACTTCGAACCATCTCAACCCACTTTTGCGCCGCCATTGTTAACACAAATCTGCGCATCATCGGATTCTCGCCGTTGTTGAAGACTTTCCGCCCAGTTCCTCCGGCTTCTCGAGTTCTTGCAAAAGTTGTTCCGCTGTCTTTCCGGGGTTTTTCAGCCCAGTTCTTCCGAGTTTTACCCGACAGTTTTTCCAACTTTGCTCCCCAGCAGTCTTTCCGAGTTGCTCCCGCTCTTCCGCCCAGCAATTCCGAGTTTGTCCGGCTCTGGCCAATGCTTCCTAGTTGTTCAGTCCTGGCTTGCCGAGTTTTTCTCGCTACTCTAAGCTTTTCCAAGCTTTTCATGCCAATTTAGTAGAGGCTTTCCGTCCGTCAAGTCTTTCCAAGTTCCGAGCTGCGCCGCGCGCCTTTTTCGACCTTTTCCGCCCAGTTTTCCCCAGTTTTGCCCGCGCAGACACGCAAACCAGTCTGTCATCTGTCTCTGGCTCGCGAGACAAATGACTCGCTATTTGACAGTAACGGGCCCTGCCATCTGTCTGTCGTCTGTATCGCGCTTTCCCGGAGCTGCTGGCTTTCAGGCGGATGTTCGAAAAATCCAACAGCCCCATCTGACAGGTGGGACCACCGCAAACCTAAAAAAGAACAAAGCCAACCCCAAAACAAACATCAACCCAAAGAAAGAGAAAACACCCAGGATTGCGACCAGAAACGTGGAAGCGCCCACAGCTGCATGAGGCGCGCGCATGGTGGGCATGGTGCGGGGGGTCCAGGCAGGCGAAGGACATGCCCGCGATGAAGCAGCCCCACCTAGCGGCGATTCAATTCCCAAGGGCTCAAGTGGGGCATGTGTCAAAGGGCACAACAACACCCCCCAAAAAAAAAACAGAAAAAGGAAAGATGGGTGGGGGGTTGTCCTTTGGCTTTCCCAAGACCTCGAAAAGGGGACCGAGATCCACAAAAAAATCCTCTCGGCGCCCGACAGGTGCGTGCCCAAGAAGTGAGTGATGGTGGCATAGACGAACAGCAGCGCCTCGTGTGATCCGATTTCCCCGGATCCGGTTTGTCTCTAGGCGGACTGAGTTCGAAATGGAAGAGGGTCACTGACCATGTGCATCTTCTGAATACATCACGCCCTTCCACCTGAGAGCCCTGCAAACATGAAGAGGAAGAGCGCCTTGGTCCGCAAGTGCTCTCTCCCCCCCAATTCCCTTTTCCACAAGTCCCCATTCCGTGGGATTTGCCCAACATATAACTCACGGGTACTTATTCACCAGTGTAAGTGTCTCAAAAGGATTGGTGTCCTCCCGTTTTCTCTTCGCCCGGAGCAAAGGGTGGAACCTTCCCCACCAAAAAAAAGGAAACACAAAACACCACCAAAAAGACGACCTTCCTGGTGACCCCTGAAACATGCAGCGGGTCACATTCGGTTCAACCTATTTAGACCCCCAAAAAAAGATTGGCGGCGGCCGCGCCTCGTCCGCGGCAGAGATCTTCGCGCCCTCGGCCTTCTTGGGCACCTGGGGGTTGAACAAAGCGGTTCGATGCCTTGTCCAGTTCTTCAAATTGCACTTTTCAAAGGCTCACTGTTTCCCCACTATTCTCATCAACATTCAAACATGACCCTTCTCTTTAATTCTCCAGCGGGTTTAAAAACTATCCCAGCATCCTGATTACCCTTTTCAATAACTCGCCGTTCCCCCCAGGATGTTTGGATAGTTTCCAAAGAAGGATGCCGGAAGAAGACTCCCTACAAAGGGAAACCAAAGGGAAACCAAAGGGAAGCCAAAGGAAAACCATTAAATTCTTCCAATCAACTTGGCTTCCTCGAAAAAAGTCCCGAAATAGTCCATGACCATCCCAAGCCCAACCCCAAATAGTCTCAAGCAAAAAAAGGCGAAAGGAAGACTCTTCTACCTGAGAGAGACTGATGGACAATCTCCAGTGTGTAGTGCTTGTCCTAGCATTCACGGGGCTTCTGAAGGGCTTTAAACCAAATTCCCATCTTGCCACCATCTTAACAGTTTCGATCCAGTCTCTCCCCCTCGCCGCACCTTTGCCAGGATGTAATTCTTCAAGAAGAAGGGCCAAAACCTGCGATTCCGCCCTGGACCTCTAAATTTGGTCGGGAGTGCTTCTTGTGTGTGCTTTTGTTCCTGGGGTGCCACCAATGCCGCGAAACACGGCATGCATGTGCTGACAGCATTGCATGTACACAACCATCAACATCGCCAGGGTTACTTTTGACACTCCCGGCATCACCAGTGGGCCGTTGGCCTTGTTCGGCTTGGTTTACGTTGGTGGATGGGTTTAGTGCTGGCTTAGTGTGGGTTTCGGGAGGGTCTAGGGTTGGGTTATATCAGGTGGGTTTGCGCTAAACCCTCCCTAAACCAGAACTATCCCGCCAAACCTTGTACAAGCCCTGACCCAACCCTAAAAACCGTGAACGAACCGAACTCTAAGGCTGGTGATGTCTCCAATCATCAACAATTCATGTGGGGTTTCCTTTTCGCAGGACACCCCACAAAACCAGAGGCTGCGTGCCGCCTGCGACCAAACGTGTCCCTTGAGCTGCGAATCACAAGAAGCACCGCTGGTTCGCAAAAGCCGAGGGGTTTCCCCCCTTGACATCTGGAAGATCCTTCGCCGACCAGTTGCACGGTGGCAAGCCACACCCAACAGGAACAACATCACAAGTTTACCACGCCATCTCAGGTGTCACCCACCCCTCCACCCCTTGCATCAAAGGAATCTACCCAAAACCGCCTCACATGCGCTATGTTCAAGCTTATCGGGGTCACGATCATGGCTTCCCTTCGAATGCCGCGAAAAATCTAAGCCGACTATACCAACCCGCAAGTAGAATGAGAATCTGGGAGAATCCATTCGATCGCAAATGAAAAACGCCAAACAAACAACGCAAAGGGCAGTATTTTGCAATGGAAGCTTAAAAGTAGTGGATACTGTGTATATACAAGTGTGTTTTTACCTGCACTTGCTAATCGGTCTGAGATCCCAACAAACCCCAAACATAACGAAACCTCAAAAGTCCCAATCCTACGATCTCAGCAAACAACTCTGCCGTAGCTTCCAGCCATCACTTGGGCTCCCCCGCTTCACCGCCAGCACGCACGCAAAGCCCATGAAAGCAATGCCGATGATCGGGGCATACTGGGCGAAACCATCCACTCCAAAGACATGGAACCCCAAACCCCGCAAATGTTGAGTTCGGAATCTGGTTTGAGGGGGCAAACAAGTTTTGGGTTCCGTGTTGATCTGTAGGAGTAAATTTGCCGGGATGCAATGAAATGAGGGGGAAGTGACTTGGGTGTCTTTGTGAGGGCACCCTTCTGAATTGGGGACCCCCCCTTTTTGCGTGTGTTCGAAAACCAGCCGGTTTCAGGCTAGTTGTGTTATTGGGAGGGCGCCAGTGTTCAGAAACAGACCCAAATTAAGTGGGTGTTTCCTCAAAATGGGTGACTCCGAATTTGCTTTTCCCATGTGGAAAGCAACACCAAAGCGAACTTTACTGAAGCCCAGATCAAACTAGATCTTCCTCACACATGCGAGCTTTGTTGGTTCAAGCTGCCATTCCTGGAACAGGTTCACGGGACACTTCCGCGGTGCTGCTGGTTTCCCTTAAGGGAAGCCAGCACCCGAGGTGACCTGTTCAGCAAGAGGCTAAAAGTCATCCCAACAGCGGTTCAGACTGAGACAAACCCGTGGCGTTTCCAGAGTTGGACGGAAACCGTCCGACAAAATCCCACCCGGAATGTTCCAAAACCCTGCAGTTGGGATCCCCGAATTCTTGGAATTGGAAACACCCATCAAACTCCTGGGTAGGGAAAATCCAGTTGGATTTCTCCCCTCGAAGTTGGTGCCCGTCCGCATGTTCTCCGTCCGGCTGTCGCAAGCTTTCGACTGCTGGGGAACCCGCAATCGTCTTGAAGGCGTCGAACTCACCGCCCAGGCCTGCGGTCAGAGCGCTCATCCCAAAGAATGGAAGGCTTCGTGGCCTTTCGGGTGGCTTGTGCTGTGCTCCGTTTGCGTCTGAAACCAAAGCTGCAGCCATGGGTCTCCCTTGCGCCATGCCATGAAGCAAGCCCTTGGGGCTGCGCTGAAGAGAACATTGAAGAGCACCAGGGACAGGATGTCATCCTCAGCCGACATCTGAACTCTCACCAGCAAGCACTTGCATCCCAGGAGACTGTCAAACACTAGAGACCTTTTCGGTCAAAGCATACGCGGGTTCATCAATCTTCCAGGCCCCCAAATGAGGTGGGAAGTATCTTCTTTACTTTCCACATAAAGGACCTTTTGATCAACCCCCATATTTTGTCTCTCCATCACTCAGGTACTAGCCACGAAGGCGGCTGTGATGATGGCCTGACAAGGTGTCAACAAATACACTCAAAGGAGAGGGAAACACAGTTTTGTCAACAACGGGGGACCCGGGACCTTAAAAGGAACGAACCCCTCCGTGACTGCGACCTCTCCCTTAACCTTGTGGGAAGCGCGAGCAACGCGCTCTTTTCAGCACTTGAGCCAAATGACATGCGGGCATGTCACCTGGATCCTTGCATGTTTGTACATCATGCAACTTGTTGTACCTCTGGGCCATAAAGGTCATCGTGATAATTGACTCCCCCCTCATTGACGGCACTGAGGGAGTGTCTTGGGCGCATTACCACGCCAACTTGAAGTCAAGTTTACATCACAAAGACTGACGCAAGCTATTCAAGCATCGCCCAGTCACTTGCACACTTTTGGAAATTTTGCAGACATGCTGCAGCGCACTAGGCAGCTGCTTTAGCGGACCTGCTTTCACGAACGTCTTCAAGCTTCTCTGGAAGGTCAACACGAATGCCGAGCAACCGGATGGCATGGTCCCACTTGTTGGGTGGAAGTGCTTTCGTGAAGATGTCTGCTGACTGCATGTCGGTTTGGACGTATTCTATCGAGATGTGTTCGCTTTCAAGCTGCTCTGCGATGCACGCCAGGTTCACCTTGTGTGTTCGCTGGACACAGCGTAGCTTGGATGAGAAACCCTTCTTTGCTACGAGGATAGTCGCCTGGTTGTCCTCGTGGATCTTGAGATGGAATGGTCTGTCCAAGATCAGCTCCCATAAGCTGAGCGCAGGAAGCGCCTCCTGGTAAAGGGAGTACGCGAGAGATACGATCTCCGCCTCGGTTGTCGATCGGGAATCCTCCGGACGTTGATTTTGCGTCCCGTTCTCCAGCGAAATCGGCGTCCACATAGAGAGACAGATGCCACTCATCAGTCGAATCCTGAACTGTGCCAACTAGCGTGCTGTTGACCGTGCCGTTTATGTAGCTGCTTATCGCAGTTCCTAGACCATTTCTGAACAAATGAGGCAAGGTCGCCAATGGGCTTGACCAGGTCTGGGCGTGCCAAACGGCTTTCATCAACACGCGGCAAGCGGCGAAGCGGAGCTCACCCTCCAAGGCGTCATCCGCAGGGTCTAGAGATCCAGCGGGACAGAATGGAGTGGTGGCATCACGCAACTTTTCAGTTTTTAGCTGTGCAACCTCAAGATATAATGCAACGGTTTGACGAGCATAATCTCGCATGTCGAACGCCATGCCCCCTTTCAATCTGCCCATTGCGGCATTAAGATCGGGTTCAGTTGGGTCCTTTGGAGCATCTATCAAAAGGTGGTTCCTGCCTAGCACCCGATATATGTCTTCTGGGGGTTCTATATCAACCAGTCTTGTTAACTTTTCCCAGAAATCTTTATGAAGGTGGCTGGGGCCGGCCAACGTCAAGTCGTCGACGTATGTCAAGAGAAGTAACCCGGACTCCTTGAACCAGAAGTTTCCAGGAAACTCTGCGACCTCACGCCCTCCAAGTTCACTAATGAAACCTTTGAGGTGTGCCTCCCAGAGTCCGCCAGCGTCAGGATGCCCATAAAGAGCTTTAACGAGCAAAACCACAGGTTTCACGAAACGCTCGCGCCACCACCTTGGCCGGAGCTCAGGCGGGAGTGTGATCCAAGTTTGGTACTTGGATTTCAGCAGTGCTTGCACATAAGCCTTTATAGCGTCCGCTGTTGTGGTGGAGTTCCCTGGCAGGGATCCATAAGCGAGACAGTTATTAAGACCTTGTACGCTCGTGGGATTTGCTCCCAAATCTTGGTAGACAGCAGCTGCGCCATGTTCGTCTTTCGCACAGTCCCCGCGATACACAATCCTACCTTTCATCTTCTGAAGGTGTTTCGCGAGTTCGGCGAACTTGACGGATGCTAGCGACATCAACTGCCCGAAGTGAACTTTTATACTGGATCGTCGCGCCTCAGCAGCGACTTGATCATACTCTCGGACTGAATTTAGATCCCAAACACCGGCTTTCTCCAGGCCTGTGGCTTCAAGTCGAACGGCTTCAAGGGCTTCCGGGGAAGCCAACATTTCGGCACGTGACAAGAGTCTGGTCACCATTGCGGTGATCTCAGGATCCTTTTCTTCCTTGACTTGTCCTAGGGAATGTGCGATGAGATTTTCAACATCAAGAACTTGTTCAAGGATGTCGTGACACCTTTCATCGGACTCAACAGCAATACCAATATCTTCCAAACCAGAGAGAGGGGATATGTGTCTTAGCTGCTGCTCACATTCCCGGTGGTCGAGAGGCAATGGCACTTGGACAGGCATCGCAGGCACAACGGGCTGAACTGTCGGATACAGCGCACGGGCAACTGTGAGACACATGCCTTCGGGGTAGAAAGCGGTCTTTGCGGTCTTGTTACCTCCTGCAAGCGAGTGTTTATACCCCTTTTCGTGCGGGCACTTGAATGCACTTAGGGCGGATGCGAGGGTGCTATTGCTGGTCATGACTTTCCATGGCTTTTTGATGGGGTAGCCATTGCTGTCCTTCAAACCTAGGGCGCAACCGTGGAAGGTCGCTGGGGTGAAGACCTGTGCGTATTCCCTAAAGAATGCAGAAACATCATCCCTAGCCCAGCTGTCGCAATCCCTTGGCCACTCAAACGAAACACTACCCCCCTGATGGAGGACGGTCTCAGCGTGACGTCTGAATCTGGAGAACAACTCTCTCGACTCTCTAACCTTTTGCTTCAGTTTCTTTTTGAACTGGCTTCCTAACTTGGCCTTATTAAGGCGTTGCCATGCTGAACCTGATGTGCAGGGGATTGCAGCCCAGAGATTGGGTTTGTCACAACCTTCAATCTGCGACTGCAACTGGATTTCTCCTTCATCTGTGCTAAGGTCGATAAACTCTTTAGCCAGCCTAACATGAGGTATGCCAAGACCTTCAAACACGCGACCCATATTGGACTCTGGTGAACATGCGTGTTCGAACATCACAGGCAACTTATCAATGCGTGCCTGTCGCTTGCGGGCACGATGATTTCCTACCTCAAACTGCTTGGGCTGCGGAGCTCCAACCTTTGCGCTGCACGGCATGCCAAAAATTGGCAATGTATCTGGACGACCGTTCTTTGACGCTTCGGTGAGAGGTGTCGGCGGCACGGAGTCTAACATCACGGCTGCACCTGTGGTGATCACGCAATCGGACTGAATGGGTTTTAACTTGAACACTGTGAACCCGGTCCATGCATTTCCAAGTGAGCGATTAGGTCGGCTACCAAACCAACCATCGTGGATGTTGTCTGCTTTGCCCCCCTGAAACACGGCACGAGTGGTGCGAGCTGCAGTAAATCTTTCTGGGGAAACGGGGCAATCCTCGACCTCTTTTGGGGTAAAAAGATTCTGCCTTGGCATGATATGGTATCGAACCAAACAGTTGGCATTTTCTTTGAACACCCAAAAATCTTCACCTTGCGATGTAGCGGCTGTCGCTGGCGCGGTATCGAAAAATGAGGCGCCGGGTCTTGAGGGAGCGGGCTCCCCAGCTTCGGCTGCATCAAATTCATGCGCAACGTCTTCTGCACTAACTGCGATTTTAGGATCCTCCTCATGCTCGGATGCGTGGATTGCTCTGGCTAGCTCCTCATCCCCTTCGGTATGGACAATGGGAATGGGTTCCTTAGATTCAGTTTTGTCAGCGCTTTTTGCAGCTGCTTCAGCTCGATCTGCAGAAACAAGTTCGGAGAACCTCTTCTTACATTCGGCACTGTGAATCTTGGAATGACCGGTGCATGCACGACAACCTGGCGTTTCCTTGAACTTGATGATCCTCTCAACAGGTATGTACACGGATTTTGACTTGACAGCGGATGGAGTCGGTGGGGCATGACCCGTCTGTCTTGCCACCATGCAATGCTCTATCTGCTGCTGCTGCGATCGGGAAGCTTGGGGGTCCGTCCTCAACGAACAATTCCGGTTCAGGAACATCGTGAACGGAAATGGAACCGTCTTTACGGAAGGCTTCATAGTCCATGACTTTGACCACGTTACGGTACCGCAACCCCGGATCGACCCTCCAACCCAAAAAGAGCGCTGGCGCCATGTTCGGATCGAGAGTGCGCTTGCCAGGAGTTTTGGTTCTGTACCAAACCAATTGCCCGAAACAGCATCTCTTCCCTTGGAACTTTTCCTTTGTGAGAGCCTCCCATTGGGTTTTACCAGGGCTGAATGGAGCAGGCCTGTCGAACGACATGGAGAGACATGCAAATGGGTAACTAAACGTATGCAACGAATAGGGCAACCCTGATTGCAAGTGGATGCTGCGACAGCATTCCTTCTCTTCGCGAATGTCGCGCTCCAGGACGGTGTTGTGTGGCCACCTGTTGGGCAAGCTTGTCTCTGGGACGAGACCGACTTCGTGGGCCGCTCCTTCGAGCTCTCCTGCTGCATCCATTTTTATTAGACATGCTGGCGGCGAATCAGTGGCCCGAAGACCCATGAACTGACGGAAGCTTTTAACATGCGCTTGCGTGTCCCGCCTACTCACAGGGTATGCAAGGCGAACGCCTGAGAAAACATCACGTACTACATGGTGAGATTTGATTCCTCCGAAACCTACTCCGAGATGTTCATCGCCCATGGCAAGAATCACAGAATCGGTAGCCAACTGTTGAAATGGTGCGGTTGGGACGTCGACTTTGTCGTCAGGTGAGTTGACGACTCTGCCAACTTGGGCTTTACCACCTCATCATACTGGGGAACGTATTCCACTACCCTAGATGCATTAATGCGCGCATCGCGGGGCACGTTAATCTTACATCTACTGATGTCCTTTGGGGGAACAAGGTACGGAACATTCTCACGTGGATCCCAAATGAATAGGTGTCCTTGATCCATCACGGTCTTTCCGATGGATTGCGCTGGTGGGCAATCACGGAGGACGTACACCTGCTCTTCAGCAGGTATCACTCGGCTGTCCTGGAACCCTAATGAAGTAGTGCCTTGCTGGGCACCACCCCCAGTCGCAAAACCTACGGGTGTGC